CGTTAGACAGTAAGTTTTCGCTCAATTTTGCAGATCTTTGTTTGGTTGGATTGTTCAGTGTGCTAACAGTATTGCCATTGATTTGTCGCTAGTGACACATAAAAAGCATACTGTAGGAGCATGGTAGAGAGTCAGTCTGATCGAATTTTCTCTAAAATCTGCTCAAGATCACAATACCGCTCGAAGAATGTGCAAAATTTCCGTGAACTTCGTGGAATACCGGGATTTCCTCCAAAGTCCGCGATATTCCTGGGTTCGCGACATTCTAGGATTCGCGGAATCACGGGAATCACGCAGAATACGCAACGCCATAACTTTCTTCGCAATAAATATATTTTGAATTTGGAATCAGCATTGTGTTCAGATCGTCAAGGAAATCTTCTGATGTACAGCATGCCCTCGAACTTGACATTCCCTCAAAAATAGACGCGAATGCACCATAACTCTTGTGACGGTCGCATGAGTCACGCGACGGTCGTCTAATGTATGGACATCACTGTCGCATGACCATATCTCGTTTCAGAGTGGACGAATTCTGAATCCGCCACCTTTCAATTCAGCTCGGCGCGGAGCATCTTCTGATAATTTGGGAGTGGGGGTACGATGTCTTCGATATTCCGTTTCCAGTTTTCTTAAATTCTTCTGCGGAAGTTCTTTCGCGAGTATGTGAAGCAGCACCTGTCCAACATAGAAGATTCCACTAAATAGTATCTGATAACACTGTTCTTGTAGATTATTGTGTGCTAAAAAATAGGCTCAGACTTCTTTCCAAAGGAGATAGAAATGGTGAATTCTGGAAAAAACGCGCTTTTAAATTCTACTCCAGTAACTTCCTTCAGAATGAATATATTCTAAATCCGAGGAAAGCTTTGTGCTCAGTTCATCAAGGCAAATCTGTCGATTTTGCACATGTCCTTGATATTTCGATTTCAGTATTCTCAAATCTTTCTGTGGACGTCTTTTCGCAAAGGTGCAAAGCAGCGCGCATTGCCTCTAATGGACTCCAGCAAGGACCGTGATAGTACTTTTCCTGTAGATTATGATGCGCCAAATTGTAGCCGCAAATTTCTTTTCAAAGGAAATAGAAGGGCTGGTGAATTGTGGAAAAATCGTGTCGTCCCAAATTCTACTCGTAGCCCTAGGATACGAAGCTATCCTGCTAAGCAGATGTGAATTTCGAAATCAGCAGGTCAGATAACCTCTATGAGCAAGTTTTCCGATATGTTCGGGTTATTTCCTTTTTTCTCATTGCATGCTCTAGAAGCTCGCAGATGGATTTTGGTCAAAATGTTGATGCTCTTGAATTGTAAGGAAACTTTGCTTATAGAGGTTATCGAACACGCTTTTTACGAAAATTGTGGTCTTTGAGGATTACAGGGTCTTTTTGGAGAGATACGCTGAGGTGACTGTAAATGCACCACGAAAGTGCGTAACATTGGCTGCTCTTCTCGCAGTATCTGTCAGGAAACTTGCCTGCTTGCTTTTCTAAGTCAAAGTTACCAGGAATTGTGCTATCGAATAGTGCGTGACTCAGACACAGTATATAAAAATCGCCGAGCCTACAAAAAACGTCCTCATGAATTTTGCTCAATGTAAAAATCGCATATTTCGTCGAAATTCCTCCGTGAGCGCTTGTACAACACGCTGTTCAAATCTCTTCACATCCTTAATGGATCTTATTGTGTCAGATTTGCTAGTTCGAGCTCTAGCCACGAAATAGCCTTTTGGGCAAAATTTGTGAGGTCGTGTTTTTGTAGGCTCGTAGCTCGGCGATTTTCAAAGAATGGTGCCTGAGCCATGAGCCATTCGATAGCACAATTCCTAGTAATTTTCATTTGAAAAGCAAGCAAGCAAGTTTTCTGACAAACGCGCGAGAAGTGCGGGCAAAGTTACGCACTTTCGTGGTGCAGTTACAGTCACCTCACCGTATCTCTCCAAAAAGACCCTGTAATCCTCAAAGACCATAATTTTCGTATAGAACGTGTTCGAAAACCTCTATAAGCGATGTTTCCTTACAATTCAAGAGCATCAACATTTTGACCAAAATCCATCGGCGAGCTTCCAGAGCGTAAAACGAGAAAAAATGAAATAACTCGAACATATCGGAAAACTTTATGGAGGTTATCCGACCTGTTCATTTCGAAACTCACATCTGCTTGGCGAGATAGCTTTGTAGGGTATTATTCTAGGGTCCTGGCCTTTATTCTAGGGTTATGGCGAGTAGAATTTGAGACGGCAAGATTTTTCCACAATTCACCAGCCCTTCTATTTCCTTTGAAAAGAAATCTGCGGCTACAATTTGGCGCATCATAATCTACAGAAGAAGTACTATCGAACGTTCTTGCTGGAGTTTACTAGGGGCAATGCACGCTGCTTTACACCTTTGCGAAAAGACGTCCACAGAAAGATTTGAGAATACTGAAATTGGAATATCAAGGACATTCTGTAAACCGAAAGATTTGCCTTGATGAACTGAGCACAAAGCTTTCTTCGGATTCAGAATATATTCATTCCGAAGAAAGTTACGGGAGTAGAATTTAGAAACCCGCAATTTTTCCAGAATTCACTAGCGCTTCTATCTCTTTTGGAAGACAGTCTGCAGCTACTTTTAAACGCGAAATAACCTACAGGAACAGTACTATCGAATAGTGCTTACTGGATTCTTTTATGTTACGCTGCATTACATCCTTGCGAAAAAACCTCCACAGAAAAATTTGAGAAAACTGGAAACGGATTATCGAGGGCATGGTGTACATCGAAAAAATTGCCTTGACGATCTGAACAAAATGCTGCTTCTGGATTCGGAATATTTTCATTCCGAAGGAAGTTATGACGTTGCGTATTTTGCGTGATTCGCATGGTTTCGCGGATCCTGAAATGTCGCGAACTTCCCGGATTATCGCGCACTCTGGCGGAAATCCCGGAATTCCGCGAAGTTCAGTTCAGGAAATTTTAACATTCTGTGGGCGGTATTGTGATCTTGAGCAGATCTTAGAACAAATTCGATTAGAGTGACTTTCCACCATATTACTACAGTATGCTTTTTATGTGTCATCAGCGACAAATCAATGGCAATACTGTTAGCACACTGAACAATCCAACCAAACAAAAATCTGCAAAATTGAGCGAAAACTTACTGTCTAACGTATATCCCTATCATATCCCGCTAGATTGTGGCACTCCTACATACCAGATGATGCGTCTCACCGAGCTGAATCCAATGGTTTCCTTGGATTCAGAAATTGTCCATTCTGAAGCGAGATATGGCGATGCGACGCGGATTCCGACGGTCTTTAGTGATGTGCGGCGCACTCCGTTGCTCTCCGGCAGACTCTAGTGGAGTGTGGCGCACTCTGCGGTACTTCGGCGCACTGCAGCGCATTCCGGCGGACTGTAGTGCAGTGCGGCGCACTCCGCTGCACTCTAGCAGACTGTCTCGCACTTCGGCGCACTGCAGCGCACTCCGGCGGAGTGCATCACAGTCCGGCGACTTTTTTGACGAATTATGAGCGGTATTGTATATATGTGAAATTCAATCACTTATCTTCGCCGTGAGATTCAATCACTTATCTTCGCCGAAGCCACACAGAGTGATGACGCAGAGCATCAATCATTGAGCACGAAGGCAACCACATTCGCCACGAACGGAAGTGTAGAAAGACCACACAACGCACTTGGATGACAGTTCCACGAATTTTTGATGATTTCAGTAGGTAAATTACCCAATAATGTGGATCTTGCTGTTGTAGCAGAGGAATTGGCCCAAAAGTCCTGAACTTCGGTAAAACAAGAGGAATATTAATGAATGTGCATTAATCAACAATGATCAAAGTCTCCACATTTACTAGAAGGTAGTTTTCTTCAAAAATCCTCGAATTTATTGTAAGGTTCGTTCTTCGGCAACAGGCTACGCCATATTGCTGTGCGTAAATAAAGGATTAGAGGCTTGATAAGAATATCTATCTCCTAGTTCGCGGTGTACGATGGAAACACCATCTGTGCAAATACTGCAACATCTGAATATTTGGTACTAGTTGGAATGTCCGGCTTGTCCTCGCATAGGTCTGACTGGCTCAACACCAAACGAAATTGGTGCGCACCTCTAAAGGTTCAGTTATTCGCCTTTCGGCTTCTTCTGCTCGCTTAACACAAAGCGAGTGCTTTACCGACGCATCGTCTTGAATTACTACATCTCTCCCTGCGTGGAATAAGAATGAGTTGATCGCTGTTGTTTACACGAAAGTCGAAAGTGACTTGATAACCATTGATAAGTTCATTTTTCTTCAAAATCGATAAACCATAATCGATAGAAGAAGTAGGAATTCCTCGAAAAGTGACTCACGAGGTGGACCTGCGTCCATATGTATGCCTCTGCCTATGTTTTTTCAAAGCCAAAACAAGCCGAGGTAAGCTCAAACACCTATAGTAGAATCTTCGAGGTTTGCTAGCGAAACGTATAAAAATAATTGGAAAAGCTTCTTCGGTGATAAAGTTAATCGGGTTAGACGCAGCTCCTCAACAGAAGCTGCCTGAACTTTTGAGATATTGCTCTTGATTCCCTTGACTTGCCTTCAAAATCCAGACACCGCTACATTCTTGGTACGATTATTAAGCTTATATTTAGCTTTTTCTTGCTACAGTGGAAATTTGGAGCCGAACCCCTAGAAATTATTGGGCCCTTCAATGGGATCAAAATCATCCATCAAGTTACGTTGATTGCGAAGTGCAGTTACAAAAAACGGGCGTACAGTTAAAAATCTGAAAACTCTCCAGAAAAGAATGATGTCTTCCAGAATGTCACACTCTGAAGTTCCGGCGGTGAAGAGGGCTAGGAAAGGGTTGTTTTGAGGGCTTTCATTGGAGGGGAGGGGGTGTTTTCGGAAGACTTTCGCCTGACCTCTGCTTACGACTAACGTATCACATAATACTCGGCATGCGTTAAAAATTATCAAATCAAGACTCTTACATACATTCTAACCGCGTAAAATCTTTGCTGTGATTTGCAATAGTTGATGTTCCTTATTTCACTCTTGGTGATCTTATCAGTTTCTTAATGAGCCCTTTTTTCTCTTTTGGCAGTGAAGCCATGTCTTGCCAAAATTCTTCTTTCTCTTCCTTTGTCTGCTGCTTCTTGCACCTCTTGTAACACGTGACCGATCTGGTGGTATGGTTGAGTTTGTTCTCCTAAAAATGTTCACCTAAGGCAAAAATTATTCGGATTTTTAGACTGTGCAGATATTTGCAACACTTTTAATTCTCAAAAAAAAAGCATTTTTAGAGGACAAGAACTACTTCAATTTTTTCTTCCACACTCTCAGCTTCGTGTAATTTTTACAAGAAAATAAATCATGGTTACCTCGCCCTTTGCACAAGGACGAGATGGAAATAGCTGTCTTGAAAAGTTGACTACAAATCTACGCTCGCTATCTGCAAAGCGTTTTTCAGTTTTGTACGTTTTCTAATGACAAAGTTGCGCTGTTGCAGAGAGAGAATAAACAATGCAATATTTTCTTTTCTTTCTTTATGTTCTTTATGTCTGAATTACTAGTCTAGATATGATGGCAGATCATCATTGATGTTGCGTCGTGGCATAAAACCCGCGACTGACCAGAAGTAATGCGGTTTCTGGTACCGAATTCGTTAGAATAACATTTATAATTTTTAGAAAAAGTCCCTGCAGCTTGCGAACGCAGATTCGAGGTTCGGCAGACTCTAGTGATGTGCGGCGCACTCTTTTGCTCTCTGGCGAACACTAGTATAGTGCGACGCACTCTGCTGCACCCCGGCTCTCTGCAGCGTGCTACAGCGACTTTTTTGACGAATTATGAGCGGTATGTACAATATCTACAAAGAAATGCCGCAGTGCTTTTGAGTCCTTCCCTTCTCAGTGTTCACTTATCATGGCGAGCAATCTTTCATAACTCTGTTCACCGGAAACAAGGCGAAAATTTGCCGAACGAAGGAGGAGATTTGAATATGAGGAAGATTGTGGTTTATATAAAAAATTGATCAAGATTTATTAGAAACTGAACTCCACTGGAGCTCACAGGTCGAGATTCGCGTCGCAGCACGACCTTATCTTGATCCAGCGCTGATTTTCTTAGGTTGCTGCATAAGTTCTGTCCGAAATTTTTTGCCTTATGTTTAAAGCAGCTGCTCTAAGAGGATTTCATCTCTGATGCGATATTGTTAGTATCATTAGAAAGTGCTTTTCTTGCGCTTTCTACAACATATCAAATTTCAATAAATTTCTTAGTGTAAGGAAATTTCAGGCCTAAAATCTCCAAGTGGTCGAGGTACGTTCTCACCATAGAAATATGTTCTTGCGAGGAAATCTCCACAATGCGCCCTTTAGGTCAAGTTTTTAAATCGGTTTCGGAATAAGGGTGTAACAGGCTAGCATACGCATAGGTTAATTTTCATGGAGAAAACGTCTTGCTAGTAAAATTTATTGCCAAACATTAATTTTCTGTCTAGACGTTTCTCAAGCAATAACTTTCTGTGAATAGAATTAATCGACGACTTCAAAGTTGGAGATGCTAGAGTAAAGTAAGGGCTAGCGGAAACCATCCACCAATTTCTTTTCGGGGCTCACGTCAAATGTAAAATTTTCATAATTCGTAAATAGGCATGCACACATGCGCTGAAGCGAGGTCAAAAAGTGGCTAATTTTTTGTTCGGTCAAAAAAATCTCTCAGCAGCGCAAACCCTATGGGTTCTTTTTTGGTGCAAAATAATCTACGAAAAATTCTCTATCTATCCATTTGTTGGACAAGATGCCTATCGATTCTCATAAGGGAGCACTGCCATGTCAAAAAAGACAGATTCGAAGAAAAGCGCTGTGAAGTTTTTGCATTCTTGTTTCTTCTTTAACAAGGATTTGCGCAGGTCTCAATATGCGTTTCATAGCCAAGGAACTGCTCAACACATGAAAACTAAGATCTTGGAAAAAAGTTGACTCTGAAAGAAGTTATGACATTTTGAACTCAAAAAATTCAAATCGGACAGAACTTATGCAGCAACCATAGATTCCCCGTAAGAGCTAACAATGAGTATGGTCAACTGCACGGAATCGCCCATATGGCTGTAGGCTGAATGCCAGCAACCGTACTTAGCGTGCAGCTATATCAGCGGCCAGCGGGTTACGTTTAGCAGTTGCGCTTCATGAGTCAAGCTATCGGTGGTCGCACGTGCCATGATCGCAAACGTTTAGCTTGTAATATGGGCAACTTTGTGCAGTCAACTTCGAAATCGCGCCTTTGGATTTTTTTTCAATATCGAAACCAAGATATGGCAATCCAACGCGGACAATGGGAGTTCGGTGACCTTTTTGAAGAATAATAAGCGGTACTGTGCTTTATCTGACGGCATGTGAAAAATGTGAAAAGGCACAAAACTAAACCTACAGTTACCAGTGTTCATTCAAAGAGTATTGATAATAGATTTGGTGCTAAGCTCCATGATTTGCTCTTTTCTTTGCAAAATTGATGCGGCTTTAGATTTCAAGAAAAATTGAAAGTAGCCATATGAATAGAATGATGCTCACCTGATACAGTGCTATACTGCAAGTTGCGAAGCACGCCTTATAATCCGTGAGTTGCGGCTTGCGAGTTGTGGCCGGGAGCTTGCGGATTCCCACTGTGGCCGGAACGATAGCGAAGAACAGAAAGGGGAAAATGAAAGCAAGGCGGTTCATTTTTATGAGATGACATAAGCGTTAGCTCATTTTATATCATTCAAACAAACAATCAATGTGTTTTGCATATAGCCTAAATTATAGCGAATCTTGTTGGTACGGAATACATGTCATTTCTTACGACAGTCACGAAATGCGGTGCAACTATCAATAAAAGATCAGGGTCGAAAGATTTTGCGAAATTTGGTTATTTTTTCTAAAATAAGGGGAAGGAAAGGGGGATGCGCTGACCTAAGTATATGGATAGTTTCCGGAGAAGAGAGTGAATAGTACACGTTTTGCACTTCTTTTATTGGTGGAATGTACTCCCATGAAATCGGTTCGAAACCATATTTAACTAATAGAGCAGGCACTTGATTTTCCTTTATTTTTGAAGGCGTTATTTTCCAAAAAAGCGTGATATGAAATGCAATGATAAAGACCATGTTCTGTATGTGCTGGGACGCGATTTACCTAAAGGTAGCTATCGCTGTAATGTTTATTTCAACCTCTGTATTTGATAAACAGCTCTTGCATCTTGCAAAGCATAAAATTTTATTTCGTTGCTATCCGTAATCTGATACGTTTCGAAAAAGAAGGATTATGCGCTTTTTATTGGAGCTTAAAGCTGAAATCACGGTTTATATCGATGACGAAAGCTGTTAGAGGCAAAACAAATTGTGGTTTTTGGACGATTGTTGAAAACGCCAAACTGCCCAATCAAATCCGGTTTCATTTTCGGTCTTGCTTTTATGGCTCATCCTTCGTGGAAATTTCAAATTGGGAATTTCAATGATTAAGTGTCTCTAGAAGACATCACAAAATGCAAATTTTTTACTCTCTTTTTTACTCTCGACTTTGAATTTTGCCTCAAATGTCTCGTATTACAAAATACTACATTGCTTAGATGCTTAGATGCTTAGATCGTCTTCACGTGACGTGCGGGCCCCAGTACAGAAGTTGCCATTGATCCCTGTCCCTCGCTTCGGACATCCACGATCTTCTTGGTCGTCGTCGGTGGCTGCGTCCACGAGTTTCAAAGGCGAAAATCGTATCCAGCTGATTTCTCAGCTGGTCCATCCGTTCCACGAACACGTCTGCCCATCTCGTCGGTGGTCTTCCTCGAAGACGTTTAGCTTTGCGCGGAATCCACTTAGATGCTCTTAGTGTCCATCTATCGTCTGTTCTTCTCATTATGTGACCGGCCCATCGGTGTTTCGCTTTCGCAACGTATTCCGCTGGGTCACGAAGACGGGACATTCTTCTCATATCCGTGCTGCGAAGTCCGAAGATGTTGCTTGTGTCGGGCCCTCTTCAGAAGAGTGCGCTCAAGCGCTCTGTGGGTGGTCCTCAAGGCTTTCAACGTGGCTACGGTATCGGCCCAAGTCTCAGCTGCGTAGCAGAGCGCTGGGAGAACGGTTGAGTCGGACAGGTGGGCACGAAGCTCCGGGTCCGTCAGTTGGTCGGTTGCTTCCTTTGGAGGCCCGAAGGCGGCCCAGGCTGCTCTTCTTCTCCTGTTAAGTTCTTCTCTCAAGTCGTTCTCCATGTTCATCGAACGTCCAAGATACACGTAAGAAGACTTTTTCATAATAGGGGTGCCTTCCAAATCCATTTCTGCATCTTCGCAAAGGGCGTTCTTCATGAACTGAGTCTTCTTCCGATTTATTCGCAGTCCGATCTTCTTCCCTACTTCGTTTAGTTCCTTCAGCATCGTCTCTGCTTCAATGATACTGCTCGAGAAGAGCACGATGTCATCCGCAAAACGAAGGTTGGATAGGAATTCCCATCAACTCGTATGCCTCTCTCTTCCAGTCCAATGACTTCATCACCCACTGCAAGGCCGCGGTGAACAGCTTCGGCGAAATAATGTCGCCTTGTCGACCCCCTCCCAATTGGAGTGGTCAGGGGGCGATGGAATAGCTGCATCGTTGTTGTACAGTCCTTGTAGCAGTCGGCTAGTGTCCTCACGTAAGCTGGGTCCACTCCTTGATCGACTAGCGCAGACAGGATGGCGTTTGTTTCGACGCTGTCAAAAGCTTTCTCGTAGTCGACGAAGGTTAGGACGAGAGGCAATCGGTACTCCCGGCAGACTTCTATGACCCTCGAAACCGTCTGGATGTGGTCCATGCAGCCTTTGCGAAATCCAGCTTGTTCTTGGGGTTGGGCTTCATCCAGTGTCCTAGATACGCGTGCGAGGATAATCTTTGTGAACAGCTTGTACAGCACACTCATGTACAAATCTACATTTACAACATCAAATAGGACATTATATGCAGAGTGCGGAAGAAGGACTGACCAAATAAATGTAAAAAAAGACCTGATTCCTGGATTTTGGTACAAAAGCTAATTTAGGATTTAGAAAGTTTAATAGAAGTTTCACAGACACAGTAATTCAGACATAGCAATGTAAATTCCTGATCAAATCCTATGCCTAATAGGCAGGCATTCAGCATTTCTATGCCAAGTGTTGGCTGCTCTGACTCCATGCTCAATGTTGAAGCACCACATGTACTGCAAATTACGCGTCTTTCATAAATCCTTTTGGCGCTACCATTCATTTGGACGCAGATTTGTGTTAGACTGTCCGACAATTGATGTCCGTTTTGAATTTGGACCGCAATGGATAAGTTGCAAAGTATTCGATAGAGCAAAACAAGCTCTACAAGAAGGCAACCTTGCCTTTGCCAAGCTCTCATCCACCTCAGGTTTCAAGCCAAAAACTAAAAAGATTTAACTCCCTAGATATCGAGAAAAGCCGCAAATTAGTTTATAAGAATCGTACAAAAAATTCTAACTTGCTCAAATAAACCCTATCCATATAAGACATCTATATACGCCGTTACCGTAAAATTCTGAAACCTGTAGAAGTATGAACGTAAATTTTCAGATCCTTACAAGCTTTGGTTCTCAAGAAATTTGAATTTTTGCTTAGACCACTTGACTAGGGAAAGCTGTACTCGATTTTTTGAGAACTAGAGTTTGTAGAGAGTTGAAATTTATGTATGTACTTCTACAGATTTGTAGTATAAATAATCTACTTAGTAGGGACAGCACAGCATCACTTTGGCAAATGCACGAAATCTTCGTTAACCAAGGAAAAAATACGGCACGTATACAAATGCTTTTTTCGGATAGTGTTTACTTGAGCAAGTAAGAATTTTTGTAGGATTTTTATAAACTGAGCTCCGATTATTCTCGTTTTCTGAGCAGCTGAATTTTTTTGGTTTTTAGCTTAACTCGACGTAATCAGAGCTGTTGCTAGAAGACCGCCACCTTGTAGATTTGCTTTGCTTTATCGAATGAATTCTGCAACCTATTTAGGAGTGAGAAGTATATGACTTATTGCGGTTGAAATTCAAAACGGGCATTGATTTCTGGACAATCTAATAATATATAGAGAGCAAAAACTCAAAAATATCTTTGGACATACTGGGTAGCCAAAACAGATTAACACAGAGTGTAAATCGCTTACATTTTTAGCGTCTATGTTGCAGCATTTATGTTGCCACACGCAAAATGGTAAAGACTTATATGTATGCATTAGAGGGTTTGAAAATGGAGGTCTACTTTTGACCGTTGCTGATACGCATAACATTGCTATAGTATTAGTACGGTAACATTGAGAAAAATCTTGATTGAGCATGGATCCCAAGTAGTAGGTTTGTTATACTTGAGAGCAGTGCCCTGGCAAGTTTGAGGGTAGTTGGTTTCTAGTGCTATGTGATGCCATTGCAAAAGAGCGAAGCCTCAGCGTCAGAACTAACGAAACATTGTATTGGATGCTGGAATAAACTCTAAAAAGGACGACGCATCGCCCGTGTGGATTTCTATGGCCGAGTAGGCATCTTGCGGCACTTAATTCATTAGGGTCTCACAGACACTGCTTCTCAGCCAAGGCGGCAATCGTTTCACCCTTCCATATTCAAAAAAAAATGACGCTCTAAGCGAACATGCTGTTGACAGTAAAAAGAAAATAGCTAGTTTCATCCAATGGCTCACAAACATAAATATACTGATGACAAATTTAACTCAATTTGGTAGTAATATATTAGGTTGGTCCGAAAGTTCTTGCGCATTATTTTCAAAAAATCATGACTTCCTTGCCACTCGATGGAATTCGTTAAAATTATATACATCCGAAAGAGGAATCCATTTTACAGATGTGCTTCCGCTATAAATTAAATTGAGAAGTTTCGAGAGTTACAAGCAATTGAAGAGGTAGCTATTTCATGAGCCAAAACGAAAAAGATCGAGAGTTAGAAGCAATTAAAGAGATTTCCTTCAGTTTTGCAATTTTTGAGTATGCTCAAAAAAGCCTAAAAGCGTCAAAGAAAAGACGTGAAAGTCTTGAACATGGGTTATTGTGAACTTCTTTCCAGCTGAGCAAAAATCGAGAGCAATTTTGTTTTTCGTGATTTTTTCGGATTTTCGGGCCTGCGTTTTTCACGAAAATCAAAACTGCTTTCGATTAGCACGATTTTCGCTCAGCTAGAAACAGAAGGTCACAAAACTCATGTTCATGACTTTTCCTTCTTTTCTGTGACGTTTTTAGGCCTTTTTGAGCATGCTCAAAAATTGCAAAACTGAAGGAATTCTCTTTATTTGCTCCTAACTCTCGATCTTTTTCGTTTTGGCTCATGAAATAGCTACCCCTTCAATTGCTTGTAACTCTCGAAACTTCTCAATTTAATTTATAGCGGAAGTACATCTGTAAAGAGCATGGATTCCTCTTTCGGATGTATATAATTTTAACGAATTCCATGAAATAGGTGCCATTGTAATGAGCATAAATTTCTCTATCAAATATGAATACTTCCAGAATTTTTCGTGAACCAGTTCAAAAAATGCCAATCTTGACTGATTTTTCAATTCATGGCGAGGTACAGCTGTAAAGGGCATGGATTCTTCTTTCGAATGTATATAATCCCAACGAATTCCATTGAGTGGCAAGGAAGTTGTGATTTTTTGAAAATGATGCGCAAAAACTTTCGGACCAACCTATTACATTGATGGACAAAATT